TTGCAACAAGGTTGTTACAAGAATGAAACACTTTATTTAAAACTTGACTGTGACTTAAATGGACAATAAAATCCAAACGAAACAAGGAAACATGAATTCCTGTAATTTCCCACAAATCACATTGACTATGGTTCAAAAGTTTGGGGTAGATAACATGTTTTTATGTTTTTGAAAGAACTCTATTATGCTCACCATTTGTTTGATCAAAAATAAAAACAGTAAAAATTTAAGTAAAACAGTAAAACAACTGTTTTCTGTTTAATATATTTTAAAATGTAATTTAGTCCTGTGATGGCAAAGCTGAATTTTTAGGAGCCATTTACTCCAGGCTTCAGTGTCACATGATCCTTTAAATATGGATTATTTGATGAATTGTAAGTTCAAATCAATAGCATTTATTTGAAATCGAAATCTTTTATACTGTCACTTCTGAATGAATGAATGCATGAACGAATGAATGCATAAATGAATGCATGAATACACAATGAGAAAGATAAGGTATGAACACAGTATAATAATAATCACAAGGTAAATGAACTGAAGGAATCAAAGAAAACACAACTTACACAGATGAGGCCAGACACTGAACACTGAAAACACAGGAACTTAAGTCAAGTCAAGTCAAGTCACCTTTATTTATATAGCGCTTTTATCAATACAGATTGTGTCAAAGCAACTGAACAGCATTAATTAGGAAAATAGTGTGTCAATAATGCAAAATGACAATAGTAAACACAAATTTTTCAGTTAAAGACAAGACTTAAGTACTAATACAGCAAGGATACTTAATGATACACAGCTGAACTGAAATAACTAATCATATCTGTAACAATGACAGCTAAAGAGTGGCGGGAAAACTGAACAAAGGAAAAGAGGAACTAAGGGTTTTAAGGTTAGGTCTTTTTTTTTTTTGCAAATAACAAATCTTACTGACCCCAAACATTTGGTGTTGTGCATCAGCCAATCAGAAACATTCATTTGCATGTTCAAGACAACTGTCATTAGTACAGTACAACTGAAAGGGATAATTCACCCCAAAATTAAAATTCTATTATCGTTTATTCACCCATTTCAAACCTGTATTACTTTCTTCAAACATTTTTCAAAATATCTTCTTTTGTGTTTTCCAGAAGAAAGAAAGTCACAGGTTTGAAACGACATTATGATATTATGTCTTATTTAAATTTTTCTGTTTAATTGCCTTTTGTTATACATTTAAATTGACTGTAACAGCCTCCAAAATAATCTTGCATAACACAAAAATAGCTTGACTTGAATCAAGAGCTCCGATTGGAGAGCTCCGCACTGAAACACCTGCCTCATATGCCTCCCTCCCAGGACTGCAGCACGTCCCACTGCAATAGATAAATAACCTCTGTCTTCACAGCCAAGGCCTCAAGCATGACTGACAGAGGATGACTCTTCTAGATTACCCATTTTAATCTTCCCGCAAGTATCCAATATGACCTCTCATAAGTCTCACCTGATGCCATGACCATTATGTCTGAAGACCAGCTATGCCAACCATTGTTTCATTGAGATAATGCACCTGCACTCCCCGGAAGCTCAAGCAATATTACAGACCCACACCAGACCATTTCATATACTTGTGACCTTTAGATTGGATTACAAATTGGAGTTGAATGGTGGTTAGGGAATCAAGTTAGCCATAATAAAATTGCTGTAAAATGTGATAAATGTCAACTTTTCCTTCTCTAAATTTAGCACCGGGCAAAACTAGCTGTTCAACAACTAGGGCTGGCAATTGTGTGAAGTGTTCATTTTCCACAATTAAAAAAATAAATAGTAATAATAAAATAAAATAAAACAATTAAAAAAAACACACATTTAGTCATGCTGCTCACACTGCTAAAATAAAAATACATATTTTTTTATTTTTCCGACATAACATACCTAAACATCCTTAAAACAAGACAAATTTACATGAGAAGTGAAAGTGAAAGTGATGTGACATGTGGCCAAGTATGGTGACCCATACTTGGAATTTGTGCTCTGCATTTACCCATCCAAAGTGCACACACACAGCAGTGAACACACACACCGTGAACACACACCCGGAGCAGTGGGCAGCCATTTTTATGCTGCGGCGCCCGGGGAGCAGTTGGGGGTTCGGTGCCTTGCTCAAGGGCACCTCAGTCGTGGTATTGAAGGTGGAGAGAGTGCTGTACATTCACTCCCCCCCTACAATCCCTGCCGGTACGAGACTCGAACCCGCAACCTTTTTGGGTTACGAGTCCGACTCTAACCATTAGGCCACGACTTCCCCAGGTGTGAGGTATTAAGAATTATTTTTTTGTGTACAATCATACACCTCACTAAATTACCTTGTTATCTTAATTTACTTGAAAATTATTTACTAAGAAATTTAAATAAATAAATAGAAATAAAAAAAATCTAATAAACATATTGACTTATGAAGTCACCTCTGTGCATGTCTATTCAGCGCTTTACTGTCTTTGAATTAAAATGGTCTTATTTTATTATCGAATTTACTCTCAATTTGTACGTTTTTCTTCTCATCAAGTGCTAATAAATGCAATTTGCATTTTAAATCAGCGTGTTATGTAATTAAAAAAAAAATATATATATATATATATATATATATATATATATATATATTTTCGTGTGTGTGCGAGGGATCTGG